CTGCTGTCCCCACCACCCGCTCCTCCGGCCTGTGCCCTTGCCTGGTCTGCAGCAGCCTGCTCGTGCCCCAACAACTATGTGTGGTGAGAGGCACCCCCCACATCCTCTTAAAGAGGGACCTGGTACTCTCCCCAGCCTCAGAGGCTCACCTAACTGGAACCAATCACAGACCATTGGCCATGGAGTAGAGACTCTGTTAGAGAGTTCACAGATCATTGGCCATGGAGTAGAGGCTCTGTTAGACAGAGAGCTCACAGACCATTGGCCATGGAGTAGAGGCTCTGTTAGAGAGCTCACAGATCATTGGCCATGGAGTAGAGGCTCTGTTAGACAGAGAGCTCACAGACCATTGGCCATGGAGTAGAGACTCTGTTAGACAGAGAGCTCACAGACCATTGGCCATGGAGTAGAGACTCTGTTAGACAGAGAGTTCATAGACCATTGGCCATGGAGTAGAGGCTCTGTTAGAGAGCTCACAGATCATTGGCCATGGAGTAGAGTCTCTGTTAGACAGAGAGCTCACAGACCATTGGCCATGGAGTAGAGACTCTGTTAGACAGAGTGCTCTTAAACATAGATTCATGACAGATTCAACACTCTTTCAGAAGCTTAGGAAATCCTTTCTTCAGCTCTTATTTCTGTGATCAAGTGTGAAATTCAAGTAGAGTCAGCCATCAACCACTGTGGCTAATACATATACGATGGGGCAAAAGTAGGTTTATAGTTTTGAGTACCTGAAACACAGAATATATTTTTGTATTATTATTTATTCATTATTATTGTCCATATGAACACCTGTAAACCTACTTTTGCCCCACCTTGTATTATGGAAAGAAATGGGCCAGGTATCAGGGAAGTGCTTGTTTGGGTGGGTGGTGGCAGAGGGGTGCTTTTTTGAGGGGAAAAAAACATAAAATAAAACCAGGTCCCTGCTTTCCCATCTCACTGAGGAAACGATAGAAATCTTTAGACAGTGTTAATAAGTATGGAAAGCTTCCTGCAGTTCTGTTACCTATGGTGGAACTTACCATCTATCATCTTGTGAAAGGGTTTGGTCACAAGTACTGCATTTCAGCCAACTTCCATTAACTCTATTTTTACAACTAAAAGCAATTTGAGTAGTTTTGTTATATAATTGTCATGTAATGTTAGTAAGCTCAGGTGTTGTTACAGTTTCTTCAGTGTCCTAATGAGAACTTGCTCTTTCTTAACCTGTCCTTCAGCATCCAGTGGGAAGTTCCAGAGTGTGGGTAAGCTAAACTCTGACATGCTAACTCTATCATGTTATCCAGCGGTATGCTTGTCTCGGTCATGTTGACTTAAAATTAGGACATAACTGTTTTCCAGAGTGGCTACACCAGTCCGCATTCCCACCAGCAGTGCACTAGGTTCCCCTTTCTCCATACCCTCGCCAGCACTTGTTTGTTGATTTGTTGATGGAGCCATTCTGAGAGGTGTGAAGTGATGCCTCATTGTGGTTTTAATTTGCATCTCTCTGATGATGAGCATTTTTTCACATGTCTCTTGGCCATCTGTATGTCCTCTTTGGAGAAGTGTCTGCTTAGATCCTTTGCCCATTTTTTTTAATTGGATTGTTTGTCTTCCTCTTGTTAAGTTGAATGAGCTCTTTGAATACTTTGGAAATTAACCCCTTATCAGATGTGTCATTGGCAAATATGTTTTCCTATACAGTGGGCTCCCTTTTCATTTTGTAGATGGTTGTGTTGTGTTTTTTTTTTTGCTGTGCAGAAATAATATGCAGATCATGTATTATAGAAATGTACACTTGAAACCTATATAATCTTATTAACCAATGTCATCCCAATAAAATGAATAAAAGTAAAAATAAATTAAAACATTAGGACCTAACGTTAACAATGGTTACTTCACAATTTTGTCACCTGAGGAAAATGATGTTATATGACTAGTGAATTAGAAAAAACAATGATGGCAGACGATTTTTGATTTCACAATGTTACACACATTAACCAATTTAATCCTCTCGAAAAACAAGACCCTGTGAGAAATAAGTGCTGTTATTATTTGCATCTTATAGATAAAGAAAACTGAGTAGGCAGGTCACATGGGTAGTAAGTGGCACAGCCAGGGTTTGAACCCAGGTCAATGGTCCCAGAGCCTGTGTCATTAACCAAGACACTGCCCTGCCTCCTGGGTCTGGCTTGACATCTAAGAGACAAGTTCCAATTTCAAATCAACCACTTCTATATTTTCTAAATTAAAACCAGGATCTGGAGTATGACAGTCGGTTAATGTGTTTCCTGGGATTTCCCCCATGAAATTCAACATGTGAAGTTGCTGTAACTAAGTAGGAACTCACTTAAACCCTTTGGTTTCTGTTCCTCACTGACCCAGTGGACTAGGTGGACTGGATTTCTATGGCTTGTCTACCTTCATAAAAATAGGAAACCCTCCTATGTACCAGGCACTCTTTAATGTGCTTTATGAATATTAATGTTTTACTCTTCCTAACAGCCCGATGATGTAGCCTTATTAGTCCCATGATAGAGGTGAGCCGACAAAGGTGAACAGAGTGTGTGTGCCCTAGACTAAATAGCTAGTAAGATTGCCCTAGACTAAATAGCTAGTAAGATTCGAATGCAGGCAGTCTGGCTCCTGAGTCTGTGTTATTAACCACTCTGCTGTGCGGCCTCTTGCTATAAAATCTAGAATTAATTATAGACCTAGAATATGAATTATAAAATATAGAGTAAGTCTGGAAAAAAATGAATGTTTCCCCAGAGACAGACTTTCTTCCATGTGGCGAGCAAGTTTTGGTATTGGTGCTTCTTTATATTGCCTGTGCTCTGATTGGAGTTCTCTGTGGCTGTGATGTCCCTGAAGGCACAGGGCAGGACCTGTCTTCTATCCCCCCTCCACCCCCAACACCCAAACTCTCCCAGGTCTGCTGCCTTCCTCCCTGGGTCCCTTGGGGATAGATTAAGGATTTGAGGAAATCATGGGGATTTCAAAAAGCAGTCAAGAGAGGCAAGGTGGAAAGCAAGATGTTTTCAGCCACTCAGATATAGGGTAGTAAATTAAAGGAGCAAAATTCAAGCTGGAAAAATGCTTCTTCATCTGGTTTTCATCTCCAACCAAGGTTCCTTACCCCCAATCCACAAATACACACATACTGTGGTTTGGTACAGAGATAAACTCCTGCTGAGCGCATCATTTCTTTGAAAATCACTATTCACAGTGTTCAGCTCAGTGCCAATCTGCATTCCCCAAATATATATTAAAACCCTGGCCTTGGTCCGGGTATTGTGGGACACGAAGAGGAATGAGGTAGTTTCTGGATTTTGGAGCCTTAGTCGGACTAGAGTCTGCATCCCTGGGCTCACAGTTCCTGGCTGCGAGTCCTTGAATATGATACTTAACATTCCTTATAATAACAGTTTCCATCTACCAAGCCCTTGCTATGGGCCAGGCAGACACTTTACAAATTCCATCTCTAATGCGCATGACAATTCTGGCAGGTCTATGTTATTACCCCCATTTTATAGATGACGCAACTGAGGCCCAACTAATAAACTAGGATTCCAACCAAGTTCTCATGATCTTTCCACTTGCAGTTTTCCCCTCACTTTTGCAGTTTTCCCCTCACTTTTCCTTCCTGGGAAATAGAGTTAGGTAATGCCATCCTCCCAAAGCATGAGATGGGCCACACAGGAACATGCATAGTTCAGCACCAAGCACACATATTTACACACTAAACAGTGGTTCTGACTGTTGTGAAAGGAAGTCACTTGGGCATGTAGACATCTCTGAAGTGATACATGAGTTAAGAGGACAGAGCAAATCTTCCCAGCCGGCCAGGCTCTGGTTTTGTGGTATTCGAATGGGGCCTTGAGAGATGCAAAGCAACCTGGGTGTGTGGCAATGAGCAGGTGGGGGGGGGACGGGGGGCAGGAAGAAAATGTTCTCTAGGTGACTTTTAAAGCACGAAAATAGAATGGCCACATGTATTGTCAATGATTTTTTTTTTTAAAGCTTCATATTTTCAAATATTCTAAAAGACCTAGAATATTCTAGTAGAACTTGCTTTTGAGAGACAACCCAAACACACCATGAATTCTACCAGATTCCATGGAATTATACCCCCAGAGAAGGGTGACTGCCTGCTCTCTTTATAAGCAATACCCTAATTCTAGACATGGAGGGCAGACACTGTGTAGCAGGATCTCTGAGAAGGAGTGACAAGTGTCATTATAGAAGAGACAAGGCTGGAGAAATGAGAGGTCTGATTATGAGGCTTCCCAGCCAGTCTCTGCCTCCTTGTCACCTCCCCCGAGGGCCCCAGACTATCTGTGCCCCTTAGACGGGACCAGTCCTGGAACGGAACACGCCCCGCCAACTAGTCTGGTTCTAGTTGAATCATTAGCACTAAATATATAAAAGTAAGTAGAAAACCTCTTGTCATTACTTACACATAAAATGAGTGGGTGTTCTGGCCACGTCTCCCTGTTAGCAGACAGAACTGAAAGGTAGATGGGCCTAGGGAACTCTTGCAAAGCACAGAGACGTGAAACGCGGCCACGCCATGTAAGACCTGCAACCTAGGAGCTCACTTTCATTTTTTTAAGTGCAGTTTCTATTTAAGAGGCTCAACTGTAAAATATGGAATAAGTCATCTGTTAGAAACTTCCATATGTATGTCCAGTAAAATGAAACAGAGTAATAACAAGTTAAGAGTAAGCTCAACAGGCTGGCTTAGAGAAACAGCGACAGGAAAGGGAAACAATTGGTTGTGACAAGCAAAAATAAGCACGTCAGTCTCAGACCACCCCAAAAGGTGCATGCTCCCCAGCCCTCCCCCTCCAGAGGCTCCACAGCTCGCCTGCCGGAGAGGAAGGCGAGGGTTACAACACCTCGCGGCCCAATCAGCCGCGCCGCGGGCCAGGAAGCCCGGGCAGGGCAGGATTTGCAGCTGTGCGGGCGCCTTCCGGTTCTCAGCTGGTTTTTGTTCCCCATGCTTGTAGGATGGCAAGGCAGATGTGAAGTCTCTCATGGCGAAGTTCAACACCGTGGGCAACCCGACGGAGGACGCCTCGGCCCCCAGCCGGCCCTTCAAAGTCACCGGGCAGAACTCCCCGTCAGGAGTTCAGGCCAGAAAGAACCTGTTCAACAACCAGGGAAATGCCAGCCCTCCAGCGGGCTCCAGCGGCGTGCCCAAGTTTGGGTCCCCAAAGCCACCTTTGGGGGCGAAACCTTCTCCCGAGGAGAAGCCGGAGCTGGAGCCCAAGCCCCCGTTTCCAAAGCCCGCAGGAGTGGGCCCCAGATTTGGATCACCGGCCGCCTCGGCCACCAGAGACCCTGAGGTGAAAGCGGGCTTTCCGAGACCTGTAGGCCCCAAGCCCGCCAACCTGCCCAGAGAAGATTCCAAACCCGCGTTTCCCCGGCCTCCTGGCAATAAACCTTCGCTCCACAGTGCAAACCAAGACCACGACTTGAGGCCACCGGGTCTGAAGCCCAAGTTTAATCCTCCAACCCAGGAAAGTGAGCAGAAGCCAGCGTTCCCCAAGTTGCCTGGGGTTCAGGGCAAATTTGCGTCAGCCTCGCAAGACCATGACTCCAAGCCCCTCTTCCCCAAGCCCGCCTTTGGCCCCAAGCCATCCCTGAGTCTTGATGACCCCCACGAAGCCGAGGGCCCCACGAAGAGCGCGTCTCCCCAGCGAGGCCCCGCGGCCCCCTCCGGAGTCAGGTTCAAAACCGGCTCCGTAAAACCAGCAAGGGAAGAGCCAGAAAATAAAGACCATGGAGGCGAGACGTCAAGCTCCCCTTTCCCTGGGGTCGTTCTGAAGCCAGCTGCAAGCAGGGGAGCCCCAGGCCTCTCCAAGAAGCCTGAAGACAAGAAAGAAGAGAGGAAGGTGGATGCTGCTAAGAACGCGTTCCTGAGCAAAGTGAACCAGGAGGAGCCCGCCCCCGGGGCTCCTGCCCCGTTCCCTAAGAGGCCTTCTAAGGTGACGATGGCAGGGCCCTGGGCCCAGAGCCAGGAAAAGGGGGGAGACAAGAGTTCTGCACCCCCCAAGCAGAAGCCCCTGCCACCTTTGTTCGTCCTAGGCCCTCCTCCACCAAAACCCAGCAGACCACCCAACGTGGACCTGACGAAATTCCGAAAAGCTCCTTCTGGAAACAGTAAGTGCCTCTCTTGTTTCTGGTTAACCTGTTTGGTTCCACAGCAGCGGTGTTTTGGTTCCTGGGAAAAGTCTGTAAGGAACAGGTCCATCTCTGGGACTTGAGTGAGTGTGACGACCTCTTGGGCATGGTTTTGCTTGGGGGTGGGCGCTCTGAGAAGTTAGGGCCCGTTTGGGGGTGGGGGAGGCACATCCACTTGATTTGATCCGTGGTTTGGCTTAATGCTAACTGTTCCATTTACCTCCTTAGTTTGGTTTCGTTTCTAGTGAATGAGGCTGCGGTGCGTTACTCGTAACCACCGCTAAGAAGTTAGAAGGATAGGTGAGCAAAACCCCAAGGTGGCGATTCTCACATGGGGCAGTTTTGACACCCAGGGGACATTTGGGAATGTCTGGAGGTATTGTCACAACAGGAGGGTGCTGCTAGCAGAGGCCAGGGATGCGGCTTCACATCCTACAAGGCACAGGACAGCTCCTCACGACAGTTATCTGGCCCCAAATGTCAACACAGCAGAGGTTGAGAAACCTCCAAGCGGTTGTAAGTGACACGACTTCGTCATGTTTCCCAAGCCTAATATTCAAACAAGAGAGCAGCAGGGCTCTTGGGAAACGACATTTTTTTGTTTTATGTTTTAGCTGTTTTCTATTTCTCAATGTAAAGTTTTCTGAACTTCTCTGATTCAGAAAGTCATACAGAGCTAGGATAAGCCAGACAAAGGGGTATCTTCTTCAGGGCGAATAGCTCATTTTCTACCAGAGATGTTACCACAGTACTATGGCATGTGCTATCCTTTCTTACTGAGTGACTCGGTAAAGATTTATAGTTCTGCAGAACGATGAGAGACCCTCACTGAAATAATGAACGTTGTAGGCAAATAATGTGTAACTGTTGTTTATTGGGGGAGGGCGGTGTCTCCAAGCGACTGCGTTATTGAACATATTTTTTTCTTACAAATGTATGGTCCAGTTAGAGCTGCTCCGGGAATGAAGGTGGTTTTTCATTTGGGCTCTGTAGAAGGATTTCGCAGTATTCATCTTCCTGAGGTTAGCGTTTTCAGTGTTGATCAGCAGATTGGTGATCAACCTGCCGCTGGTCTACCACGCAGAAATCAAGTTTGGAATGACCCCAGGTTGGCCACCTTCTAGAAAGACTCAGGCTTGTTACACTTGTCTCCTCCCCTGTCACCCTCTCGTGTCAATACTGGTCCCTAACTCAGAAATGTTATTTTTGGGAGACCTTCCATAAGGTCCCTTTTTATTTCTCTCTCTTAGGTCTCCTATACCTCAGATTTTAAAATTTGCTCTCATTAAGCTCCATTTTATGGCTCTACTTTATGCCATGGAAGCTGTTCTGATGTCCAGCAGAAATCCCTGGGGGCTTTCTTCCACCTGCCCCATCTTTGTTTCGCCCCAGTGCCAGGTTTGGGTGGTGGGAACGGGCTATGGGGTGTCATGCCAGTGAATGAGTTCTCACGACGCTAATGAAGTCCTCTGGCCGGCTCTGCAGTCCTGTCAAGGTCAGTGCTGAGCTGATTTTCAGGGCAGTGTAATTCCCGGGGACCCAGGCACAGTCGCTTAGGATTCAAGTCGGTTCTTGCCCTTCTCCTTCCCTTTACAACCCACACCCCCATCCTGACCTGCCTCCCCACTGCTCAGGTCCGCCATCACATAGACTAGACTCCAAGTGCTCTCATCCGTGTGCCCCACTTTCAACCTCTGGTCCCTTGGTGTGGATTATGTTCCAAAATGGACCCCCTTCCGTCTTCACCCACCTCTTCCACAAATCGGAACTCAGTCTTCTTCATTTCAATTGACCTCAGGCTGGTGTCAGGATAAAGCCATTGGTTTCATAAATTTAAATTCTGAATAACGCCTTTAAAGCTTCCACTTTTTTCAATTTATTTTTTAAATAGAAATCACAGCTAGTAAGAGGTAACCGATCATTCTTTAAATTGCATAGTCTGATCAGTGGATGACTCACCTAATTGATTTAACAGTTTGTATTGTTTTTCAAACTTTTGCTGTTAGAAACAATGTACAGAAAATAACCTTGTATATGGGTCACAAAATAAGCATTTATTTTCTGAACACAGACAATTTCTTAATAGTCAGGTCTGCCGACTCCGGATCCGACCACTGCTATTTTTCCTCAATCATTCTAAGTAATTTAGCATCCATGCAGGAAGGTTTAAGAAAATACCAGAATTAGAAAGTATATAGTGTCCAAATTAACTAAAGCTTCATCTAATAATTTTGCAGACTTTCGAAACCCTAAAACTATTTTTTTAGTCTTCCCACCTGATTCCTTCCCTTCCTGAATCACGTCCAATTCCTTAAGCCTTTCTCAGATCTAACCCTCATCTTCCTCATTTTTGTCCAATATACTAACCACTGAAAGTATTTATCATTTATTGAGGACTTGTTCTATACCAGATACATGTTACCCTGTTAATTCCAATGAGAGAGGCATCCTATGAGGTTAGGTAACTTGCCCAAGGTTGTACCGCGATGAACAGGAGCAGGCCCTGTCCTTCCTCTCAGAGCCCACGTCCCCATCACCACCCCCCTGCTGGGCCCCCTCTCTAGAAACACAGGATAGCATGAGATAATAAATTAAGCATCCATGAAACCCAGAGAATGCTCACTCTCCCCCTTTTCTTTGTCCTTTGGGTGAAAAAAGTCATTGAGTTTTTACTATAAATACCACTCTCAACTTCATGAAGACAGAGACCAGTCCACTCAATTTTATTTATGTGGAGCATAGAAATAACATATTCTTGTTAGTGGCTCAGGTTTGTCTCCCCACCAAAATGTCTTCAATCAGAATTTAGGATTAATGCACTCTATAGCTTGGCAATTCCTTTTTTAACAGATAACCCTTGCCAATAGACTCATGCTCAACTGACGGAGCTTCTACATGCAATGAACACTGTAAGCAGAGTCCACAAGGTAGATTATCAGCTTCCTTTCTTGTGAACCAGAAGCTTGAATATACTGTAACCTGTTGCTTTTCTGAATGTGGAGCTAATACCTCTTTCCCCCCAGAACAATTTAAGATTACAAAAGGCAAATTTTAAAAAAACACAAAACCCAAAATATCAAAATGTTCTTTGAACTAATCTTTGCCCTGGTTCCTTCTGGTTCCCGGGCTGCCTTCCCAGGATCACTGTGTGTGTGGGAGGAGTGAAGTCTGGGTTATTCAGAACCCCAGCCTGTCTGCTGGTTTTCATGTAGGAGTTAGTAAAACCGGCTGGGAAATCGTCCACCCAGTTGTGTGTTTTTCCTAGTCTTGTTCTTAGCACTGGAGAGAAAGTAAGACTCACCTTTCCTGTATTAGCTTTAAAATAACTAGTTAAGTGTCTTGACAACTCAAGGGGCAAGGCCAAGGTCCTAGCTGGCTTTAGCAATCAGCTGATGGTGTGACTGACCCCTCCTCAGCTACTTATCTATCACTTTCACTAATCCACGCACAGCAGTTCAGAACCAAGGCGTTTGGCCTATTTTCCCCAGCAGGCGACTTGTTTCCGAGAGGGGCCAAGGTTTTCCTCCATGGATCCTGAAACCACCCCTTTCATCTTTCCTTCATTCTCATTTCAGTGTGCTCTCTGACAATGACCCTGTTAGATATTTACAGATCATGTTTTATATCAGCGCATTGCTCCCAGCACAACAGGGAAAGGGATTTGCTGCTCAACCACACTTAAGAAACTCGGGCCAAGTGGGTTCTTGACACCAGGGTTTCTATGGTTACTGACTCGAGTGTGCACTTGGGGTCTAAGAGCAAGGGACCTAAAAGCAGATACCCTTGCTTAAGCATCTCCTGGCCAGGGCTATTTCAGGACACTGGGGAGCTGGGGCCAAAGCTCTGTGGGGCAGCCTGGAGTGGAAAGTCCTCTAAAGCACGGCTCAGCTTCGGGTGGCACTGAGACCCTCCACACGCTGTTCGCGGTCATGCTCCGGGCACCTGGTGTGCGCTCTGTAGCTGGCCCCACCCTTACCTTTAGCGCCAGCCCGAGCCCAATCTATGTCACTTGCCCTCCTGGATCCCTGGGAAACCAGTTTTCCATAAGGCCCATCAGTCTTCCTCTACCCCAGGTTAAAACTTCCCTAGGAAACACTGTCAGTTTGGCACCTTACCTGCTCTAATCCATAGCAGAGATGCCTTGGGAAGAGCCCGTCCTCTCCTAACCACACAGGTCTGTGGTTGGATCCTAACAGCTACCTGTTCTCTGTCTTCTAAAAGTCTCTCCTCTGCTCTTCTAAGATAAACCAGCTCCTCAGTCTAAACCCTAATAAACAACCTGTTCCCTGCTGTGTCACATTGCAACAGCATCCTTTGGGCTTTTATTATCCAGTGTTTTTATCATACTTATAAGCAATCTACATGGTCATTATTTTTATTTTCTGGCATCTCATTTTATTGAGAACAAGTCTGAGACCACCCTGAATGTCCCTCTTCAAAAATGATTTTTTTTTTTCTGTCTGGATTCCCAAAGAAATCTCTGTCGTTAAGGTTTAAACACTTAGCCAGTCATTCTATTGTCCATGTCAATCATTCTATCATCATTCTAAACCTGTGTCAATCATTCTGTCGTCAGTATTTTCTGAGAGGGGATGTTCCTCTGAGCTCAGGGATTCTTGATGCCACCTGCACAGGAGTCCTACCATTTCTACTGATCTGCCTGATGGATAACAAACCCATGCTCTTGCTCTAATCCAGGGTAATAAATTTGTCTTCCCTTGAGTGCTTCGATTTGAGCCCTGATACTACTTTTCATCCACTCTTCTGTGGAGGGGAGGACAGCTGTGCTGGTCTCCAGGGCCACCCTGGCTGGAGATCTGGATTCTGCCCCATTATCTGAGACCTCACCCGGTACCACAACAAGCCAACCATGACAGCTCAGCCCCTTCTGCCTCTGGCGTGACCCTGTCGTGGCATTTAGGGCTTTCATGCTATAGGATTCTCCTTGGCCAGGCTGCTCAGTCACCCCGAGTTCACTT